AAGGGACTTGTCCAAGCTAATTCATCACTACGTGTCTAAGCTAGGACCAGAACCCTCGTCTTCTGAGTTTCAACCCCATTGCTCATGAATTATACCACATCTCATGATGGCTGAACTGTGTTCCCTCGCCCCCCAAATTCATGCTGAAGTCTTACCACCAGTGCCTCAGAATGTGACCGTTTCTGAAGACAGGATCTTCAAAGAGGTAATTAAGTTAAGATGAGGTTGTCAGGGTGGGCTCTGATCCAGTGTGACTGGTGTCCTTATAAGAAGAGTCAGGACAGAGACACACACAGAGGGATGACCATGTGAGGACACAGGAGAAGCGTCCATCCTCAAGTCACAGAGACAGGGCTGGGAAGGAACCAGCCCTGCCCACACCCTGACCTCTGGCTTCCAGCCTCCAGAACAGCGGGAAGATAAACACTGCTGTTTAAACCAGGCAGCCTGAGCTACTGTGTTACAGCAGCTAAGAAACCAGTATGACACCCAGCCTCTGACAGGCATTTTAAGCTGAAGTAAGATGTGAAGATGCTTCTGCTAAGTTGCTGATGGTGTTAATGGAACAGGTAGCCCGTGATACCGCCATAGCAAGTCTGGTGCTCACGAGCACTGCAGAGTTCACATGAAGACTGCTAGCACCTGGAGAGTCATGTGAGATACTTCTGCTTGAGAATGACAAGCAGTAATGTGGTGATGTCAGGTACTCTTCAAGAAATAGTAACATTTCCAGATGGGCAAAGACCTGAAACATCATTGTTTTTTTAGGATTGTCATGAAGTTGAAACATCATTTTTGAGAGGAAAAGAAGTAAAATGGCAAAGATGGATGCATCCCCGTATTTGAAGTGCTGGCCAGATTTAGCCCTTTCTGTAAATTGTGCTTTAGAATATGGCGGTGTTCTAATATAACAATAAATATGCAAAACTTACTGCATCTGAAATTGTTTTGTGCCCTACTTTGATAGCTCCTAGATTTCTTCATTCAAGTCTTTTTATAATAAATTGGAATTTCTAAAATTCCATCAACTTGGTCACTCTCTAATTCTCCCTGCAGCAAATCCACCACGGTCCAGAGGACACAGAGGAGGTGGTGGCTATGACCTTTGTGCTAATCTGAGACCACACAGATGATGACAATGTTTAGTGGGATTTTAAGATCAACAGGTCACAGAGACAATAGGAAATATCCCAAAGGTAAATCAATAGAGGATTGGTTAAATAAATTACAATTGATCCATATAAGCAAATGCTATGTGGGTATTAAAAGTGATGGTGCAAATTACATTTACAGGCCAGTAAAGATGAAAGATGTCTGAGACACAGCTTTACTTAAAAGAAGACCTGCCGGGGGAAGGTACAGCTCAAGTGGCAGAGCGCACACTTAGCACGCACAAGGTCCTGGGTTCAATCCCCAGTACCTCCTCTAAAAGTAAATAAATAATAAACCTAATTACCACCCCCGCCAAAAAAATGAATAAATAAAATTAAAAAAAAGAAGAAGACATGCTAACAAATAGCATTAAGTTTTGTAAAAGTCAGTTACGTGTGTATATTATCCCTACGTGCCCGTATGTGCGTACACGCACGTGGGAAACACACAGCAGGGTTTGTGTCGCATGCAAAAGTGCTTACCTGCATCTGCTGGGAGTTTTACAGGTGCTTTTCAGTGTGTATCTTTATGTGTTATCTAAAGCCTGTTAAGACTGTGTCCATGTCTAAAAAGAGAAGCGTCCAGGTGAAGCCGGGCGCTGTCTTCGGGTCTGTCTGTGGAGCGGGCGTGAGAGCTGAGTCTCCGACGAGGACGCCGGGCATGGTGGGGGCAGAGTTCTGCTGTTCTTGAATCCAGGGTAGGCAGAATGTCTGCTGATAAAAGGCTCCATACGGCTTCTACGGTTTTAACAAATTAACACAGAATGGGTCAATCTGACACTGGAGAAGGCTTCCACTGAGTATATTAAGTCGTTGTGCCCCAGGTGAGTTGAAACCAGTTGCTTTTTCTTTTAATCCTAAGAGAACAGTTTTATTTGTGTCCTTGTCATGACAGTCAGCCCCTGAACGGCCAGCATCAGGAGGTTTATCTCAGGAATAGCTGTAAAGTAGTCAGCTTCTGCCTACATCTCTTTCCTTCTGTCTCCATTTAGGTGTTTTTTTTAACTCTTACCACCTGCACAGTTTTACATTTTTATTTTAATTTGATTTTACATGATACATGCCTATGTAACAAATTCAGACACAGGAACATTTAAAGTGAAAAATGAAAGTTCTCCATTTTGATTTCACCCCAACCTTTCACTCCCTGGAGGAAATCACGATAAACTGGTCTGGGTCTCTCCAGACACATAACACCCACACCAGAAATCTTCTCCCACAACAGTCATAGGATTAAAAGAAAACCCTAACACTGTGGACAGCGGTGGCTGCGTGGCAGGGCATGGCGCGGGCACACCGTCACTTACTTACCTGTTTCCATGACGACTGATGTTCAGGTTGTCTCTATTTTTTTTCTGTTCTAATTAATACTTAAGGTACATCTTCCACACTTACGTAGGCTTATGTAAGTCCAGGATCCCAGATGAAGAAGTATTGAGCCAGAGGTGTGGACGTTTGATAGACCCTAGTTCTGCCTTCAGGTGCCAGCAGAATTTCTGAGGGACTTGGGAGCGCTTCGCACACCTGGGGTGAACCTTCTTGCTCCCGACCACCTCTTCTCTGCCTCCCCCAACCTGTCTGGGGCCTGATAGGCGAGGATGCCAGGATCCCATTTGGTCAAGGCTGAGGTTTTGACGGAACTGGGAACTGGGAATGTTCCCAGAGCACAGACAGGCCCTCCTGAGAGGCACACACGTTCCTGCAAGGACTGGCGTTCTGCACAGCATTTAAAAACTTACCATGAAACATCTAGACTCAATGTGCTGCTAAAAACAGCAACAAAAGAACAGGGAGCTTAACGGAACGGCTGCTTCCCCTGGAACTATTCGATACTTTAATTTCTGCTGTCTGTCTTAAAACGTCACATGGGAACTTTATTTTAAAATCTTGTGATAGAGAATCCTTTGTCATTCATGAGAATTCTCTCCTGGGGGTGGGCAGAATTAAAATAGCAGTCCCAAAGTCTTGAAAACATCCGCCTGGTCTAGGGGTCGGGCGCCTGTCCTGGCCACACGGCAGTGTTGGGGGATTCGGGGTGACAGTCCCGCCTGTGGCTTCACCCACATGAGCTGGGCTGCTCAGTTTATCGTGTGAGGACTTCCGCAAAGCGTCTCACGTGCCGTGCATGGCGAAGGCCTGTTCATTTCTGTTTTCCCCTCTCCCCGGAATTGTCAGCATCTTTTGGCGATGGCAGTTTCAAAGCTCAGCAGTGTGCTGAGATGGGGGGGGGGTCCCAGGTGTCTGATAAAGTCACGGATCTTGAGACAGTTGTTTCAGTTGTGGACTAAGCATCATGGAGTGACATCGAGGGGGCCGACGAAGCCAGGCCGTCTCAGCAGAGTGCTGGCGGCCAGCCCCTCACCTGTGCACCCATCCACTCGCACTACGCTCACGGCCCGCCTGCTCGGCGCCGTTCTACACGCGGGAGAGGAGGGGACAGAGTCCCTGCACCCAGGGACCGTATGTTCCAACGGGGAGTGTGGCAGGGAAGCCAAGAAGCCACCCCAGAAGGAAGAGAACCGCCCGCCCGGAGGGCCGCCTAGCGGGCGGTCGCCGGGAGGAGGCGTGAAGACGGAGGGCGGAGCGGGGGAGGGGGGCAGGCAACTTGGTGCCGCCTTTGCTGGAGGAGATGGTGGCATTTCCTGACCCCGCCAGCGTGG